GGGGGGGGGGGCTGGGCGACCGCAGCCCTCTCCTCCTCCTCCTCCTCCTGTCCCCCTCTTCGGGGCGGGGAAGCCCCCCACTGGGCTTCTATATCTTCCTGTGGGGGGGCAGAGTTTTGGGGGAGGGTCTCCCCGGTGGAGCCCCCCACCCTCGTTTGAGCTCAATCAGGGAGGCTGGGGTCCGGCCCCCCCTGCAGCTGCCCGGGGAGGCCCGGGGAGTGGGTGGCCCCCCGGGAGGGGCTCCCGGCGGCCCTCACTGGGCTCTCTGCTCGGCCCGCAGCAAAAGCGGAAGCTGCGCCTGTACATCTCCAACACCTTCAACCCGGCCAAGTCGGACGCCGAGGACTCGGACGGCAGCATCGCCTCCTGGGAGCTGCGGGTGGAGGGCAAGCTGCTGGACGACGTAAGCATCCGGGGCGTCCAAGGGGGGGGCGGGGGCACAGGCCAGGTGCCCCCCCCAAGGTGGCCAGCCACTGGTGGGACATCGTGAGGAGGGGCTGGGTCGGCTGGGGGGTGGCCAGAGCCAGTGGGGAGGGGAAGGAGCCGAGTCGGTGGGGGGGGGGTGTTGTCTTCTCCTGATGGGGCTGTCCCCCCCCACCCCCTCCACAGCTCAGCAAACAGAAGCGGAAGTTTTCCTCTTTCTTCAAGAGTTTGGTCATTGAACTGGACAAGGACCTCTACGGACCGGACAATCACCTGGTCGAGGTAACTGGCCTGCCCCCCCTCCCTCCCTCCCCAGGCAGAAAGGAGGGGCTGCCCTCCGTCCTCCATCTTGGGCTGGTGGGCGGGTGGGGAGTAGAAATTTAGTGGAGCCTTGACTCAGCCACAGAGAGAGAAGGCAGAAAAAGCACTGTGTGTGTGTGTGTGTGTGTGTGTGTGCATGCTTCCATCTCCCCCAGACTTCCTTTCTCTTCCTGGAATAGGGAAACTTTAACCTTTAACCTTTAATCCTCCTGTGTCCCCCCCACCCGCCGTGCCTCCCCACAGCCCCGCCTCTGCTAAGGATTCCCATGACTTGCCTCATGTTTGTATAGCCACAGCAAAAGCACTTAGACTTACGTGCTGCTCCACAACGGTTTACAGAGTCTGCCTCTCCCCCCCCCCAACAATCTGGGTCCTCATTTCACCTGACCTGGGAAGGACGGAAGGCCAAGTCAAGCTTGAGCCGGTCAGGATTGAACTGCTGGCTGTGGGAATGCAGAGCCAGCCTGCAACGCTGCGTTCCGGCCACCGGGGGTCCCTCTTCTGCGTCTGCCCAGGGCCGCCCCTCCACCAGCCTCCGTGGGTGGGAGGGGGAGACCCACAGCTGCGGTTGCTTCCGCACAGGGTCTTCCCAGACGGCAGCTGAAGGGCCGACAACGGGCAGAGGTGGGCCACGAGCGGTGGCGATCGCCAGTCTCCGTGCCGGCGACTTCTTGATCAGCGGCAAGGCTGGCGGGAGTTGCACGCCGGTTCCCAGAAGGCTCCTGGCTGGTTTCCCATCCCCAGAAGGCTCCTGGCTGGTTTCCCATCCCCAGCATGATGGGCTTCCTTGGCCGAGCCGCCTGCCTCCCCTTGGCGCCCCGTTGGAATCGGCAGGGCTCCGGACGAAGCCTCTGGGGACGCAGACGGGCGCAGGGCCTAAACGGACCAAGTATTGGGCTCGCTAAGCACTCAGGGCGGCGACAGAAGTGCCGCCCCCCCGGGGAAGGTATGGGTCTCTCCCTCTCAGGGACCCTCTTGCTTCTTTCTGGCAGTGGCACCGGACCCCCACCACCCAGGAGACGGACGGCTTCCAGGTGAAGAGACCGGGAGACGTCAGCGTGCGCTGCACTCTGCTGCTCATGCTGGACTACCAGGTGGGGAGTGGGCTTCGGGGGCAGGCATTCAGACCCCCTGGGGCCCAGCTCCCAAGTCACAGGGGGGCCTCGTCAGAACCGCTGAGCTGTCTTTGGGCAGGCCGGTTCTGGGGAACTTCATCGGTGGCGGTGGTGGTGGTGGGGAATATGGGGAAGGGGAGCTTGTGATGACCCTGACTCCAGCCTAGCAACATGCCAGCTGGACTTCTCTGCTCTCCCACTGCCATGGGCCCCCCTCCCCTCTCCCAGGGCCCTAGCCTCCCCAGGGCGCCCGGGGGCCACAGGAGAGATAAGCTGGGTGCGTTTCAGAGGCAGCAGCTGCTTTCCGCAGCCCACGCCAAGTTCCTGCCTCTCAGGGCAGCCCGAAGGCCGCTGGGCGCAGCTTCCTGTGTCAGCAGGAGGGCATCTGAGAGGGGGGGAGACTGAGCTGTCCAGTGCCTGGTGGGGGGGGGGTCACCTGACCCTGTTTGGCAAAGGTGGGGGGCTCTGGGAGCGGGCAGTGCAAGATACCCAACTTTTTTAGGGAAGGCCGTGGAGAGGCGCTCATAACTGCCGCTTCAGAGAGTCCCGGAAGGAGTGGACCATCCTGACCCCTCTCGGTCTGGATTCAGGCCTGGGTATAGGACAGCCGTGGTTGCGCTCGCCGACGACCCCTGGCAGGAGTGGGGTGGGAGGGGTACGTCCATCCTGGCTTCCCTTCCCAGACCCCTCCTTTGTGTGGTGCCTCTGTTTCCCCCCCACCCCCGGTCCTGTTGAAGCGATTGGCGCTCTCTGCCACTGGCTGTTGGGCATGTGTCGACGCCTAGACCAGGCAGAAAAAGTGGGTGATGTGAGCCCCTCCCCCAATTCAAGGTCCCCCGTTTGAAGAGCTTGGGCCTCTGCAGCTAAGTCTGTCCCGGGTGCCGATTGTGCCCTTTGGGGGTCACCGCTCCCAAGTGGCCGACTATGGTGCGCTGCCACGGGTGGGCCAGGCCTCAGAGCTCCCTTCCCAGAATGCCGCAGAGGGGCGAGGGATGGGTGGTGCCCCTACTGCGTAATGGGATGCCCGCTGCTCCGTGGGCTGCATCGGCTGCTGCTGGGCTTCTGGTGACCATCCAAGGTTGCCAGCTGGGAAGCCCTCCGTGCTCAGGTTTTTTCCCCTGGCGGTTCCTGCCCATCCTCCCACCAGATCCAGCAAGGAGTGTGTGGGCTCCCGGTCGCCCCTGACCAGCAGTGCCCCCCCCCCAGTCAGGCCCAGGAAGCAGGCGGCCCCTATGGCAGGCCTTCCCCCCCCCCAGGACAGCCTCTCCCAGACGGAGCCCCAGCGCAGCTCCTGGAGGGCTGGGGAGTCCCGCAAGGCAGGTGTGTCTGTCCTCTCAGGCCTGGGGAGGGGGCCAGGGTGAGACCCCGGCCTCTTTTTTTGGTTCCTGGGGAGTGGAGGGCGGTGTTGCAGCCACCGTTGCTCTTTCTTGAGATTCGTGTGTGGTTTTAACTCTCAACGCTGCCCAGAATTGCAGCTGAGAGATGGGCGGCTACCACATTTGATGCAGCGCTTGTTCACGTACTTCTCAAACGTCTGTGTCGTCCATCTCGCTCTCCTGAACATAATAAGCATTTTAAAAAAGGGCAAATAAAGAAATGCTGCCTGCAAAGTGGGTGGGGGGCCGGGGATTCCCGCGGGCAGCTTTTCCGGACTGCCCTTTGCAGCCGGACAAGAGAACGAGACCCCGAGGCCGCCAAAGGGCTTCCTTTACAGCAGCGTACGATTTTATTCACACAAACTACGAGCAGCCCTTGAGCCGATCCAGGAAGGCAGCACTGAGGGAGCCTGGGGGGGGGCGGATGGGCCGTTGGGACAGAGGGGTCCTGGGGTCCCCGCTGGGAAGGATGGAGAGTGAGAGGCTGGCCGGGTGGGGGCGGGTGGTTGGGCAGCTAGCCCGAAGCCCTCGAGCCTTCGGGAGTCAAAGGAGGCCCTCGGTTGCCCAAGGGGACGCTTGGCGTTTGCTCTCTCTGCCCGCAGCCTCCCCAGTTCAAGCTCGACCCCCGCCTGGCCCGCCTGCTGGGCATCCACACGCAGACCCGCTCGGCCATCATCCAGGCGCTGTGGCAGTACATCAAGACCAACAAGCTGCAGGATTCCCACGACAAGGAGTACATCAACTGCGACAAATATTTCCAGCAGGTGAGCAGAAAAGGGGAACCGGGGGTGGGTGGGTGGGTGGAATGCTCTGGGATTAATCTGGCCCTTGCGCCGGACCCCTGAGATGGGGCATTGGGGGTGGGGTGGGTCCTCCATCTCCCCCACATCAGAGCTGGGTGGCAGGGTGGGGTCATCCTGGGGGTCCGAGGCTACGGGGAGCTTCTCTCTCGTACCCTGGCAGAGCTGCCTCCCAGCAGGGCTTGGGTCACCCATGGGGGTGCTGAGATGGAAGGGTTTTCTTTCCCCCCCCCAGTGAAGCCCAAGGTGGCCGGTGAGAGCCTGGCAGTGGCTTCCTGTGTGTGGGGGGTCCAAATGGGGCCAAGGAAGAAAAGAGGGTGGGAGACATCCCCCCCCAGGCAGAGCGAGGGCTGCCGGGCTCAGAGCGAGTGACCCAAAGGGGCCATCCTCGGACGGACCCTGAAGTTCTGCCCAGGCCCCCGAGATGGACCCAGGAGGCACTGCCTGAGGCAGCCACGGGGGGAGAGAGGGCCGGGGAGGGGGGACCCTGCTCAACCTCGCCGGTCCTCTGGCCGGAAGAGGGCGAACGCCACTGAGCCTCCCGCCCATTGGCCGTTTTCAGATCTTCGACTGCTCCCGGCTGAAGTTCTCCGAGATCCCACAGAGGCTGACGAATCTGCTGCTCCCACCGGATCCCATCGTGATCAACCACATCATCAGGTCCGCTTGCTCGGGGGAAGGGCCGCCGAGGGTCCGCTCGGTTCGCGCCCCTCGTGAGCAGATCCGGTCGGCGTAGTAGGGGGGGAGGTCCCCGCTCTGCCACGGGGGCTGGGGGGGTCAAGGGAACCAGCCTCTTTTGGGGGAGGGAGGGAGGGGGGCCTCCCCAGGAACGGTGCTGATGCTCCGGGCTCTCCCCTCCTCCCCCTCCAGCGTGGACCCCAATGACCAGAAGAAGACGGCCTGCTACGACATCGACGTGGAGGTCGAGGACCCCCTGAAAGGGCAGATGAGCAGCTTCCTGCTCTCCACGGCCAACCAGCAGGAGATCACCGCCCTGGACAACAAGGTGCCACCAGGAGAGCCAAGCTGGCTGGGCGCAGAGGGAGGGAGGGAGGGTGCAGAAGGCCGGCAGCCTCTGGCTTATACGACTGTATCAGGCTAGGTTCCCGTCCGGCCATTATGAGGCTGTAAACAACTCAATGTACCTAATACTGCTTCCTGCTGCTACGTCCCCCGCAACGACAACCCTGCGAGGTGGGCTGAACGACTCCTCTCCGGAGCCTTTTGATCCAAGCGGGCACTTCCAGGGTGGAGAAGGGGGGGCAGGACAGGTTGAGGGAGAGCTTCCTTCCCCCCTCCAGCCTTTGGGGCTGCCCGGAGGTCCCTGACCGGGGTGGAAGCCCAACTTTTCATGACTACGTATCTCAGTGAGAGGCCCGCAGGCTCCCCCTGGCCTAACCCCCCCCGGGGTCCCCCCACTGGACCGCTGGCCCTGGGCCTCTGCCGAGAGGCGCCTCTACCCTCCGAAGCCTCTCCGGCCACTTATGCCAGCCGCTTCCGCTTCCGCCCGCCCTGCAGATCCACGAGACCATCGAGTCGATCCACCAGCTGAAGATCCAGAGAGACTTCATGCTCAGCTTCTCCAGGGACCCCAAGGGCTACATCCAGGACCTCCTCCGCTCCCAAAGCAGGGACCTCAAGGTCGGTCGCCCCCCACCCCGCGCACCAGGGGCCCGAGCCGGGATGGGACCCCGAGGGCCGCCGGGCATTGGTGCGCTTGGACCTTCGGCCTTGGGGGGAGGGACTGGCCTGCCGCCCCAGAGACCCCCGACTGCTTTCTTCTCCTCCCTTCTCTCCGGGTGCAGCAGGACGACGGGGGGGGCTTTCGAGCTGGGGTTCGCCGCCCCCACAGCTCGAGGGCCAGGTGGGGGCAAGCCCTCCCCCCGTGCAGCTTTAGACGAAGCCTCAGTACCCACCCCCCGTAGTCACAGGGAAAGGCTTGAACTGAGCTGCTCCCTCCAGCCAGGGCAGAGAAGGGCCCGGGAGGGGAAGGGGGGGTCCTAGGGGGGGGTTGGTGGGTCAGCGTAACCAAAAAAACGGCCCTGGCTTCCCTCAGCCAGTGGGGGAGGCTCCCAGGTGGGCGAGGAGGTTCCTTCTCGGGATTGGAGGGTCCCAGAAGGTTAAGAAAAGGTCAAGAGAAACGGGGTGGGCAACCGAGGCAGGCTCAGGAATTGCAGCAGGAATTCTGCAGGCAGCCAGGCCATCCACCCATCCATCCACCCATCCGTCCTTCCATCCACCCATCCATCCATCCATCCGTCCCTCCTCCCCTTTGACCGAGGCCGAGGCCCACTTCATCCCGTGTCTTTCTTAAATCTTGGGACCCTGAGCTCCTTCCCTTCCCTTCCCGTCTAATCTAGTCAAAGGAAGAAAGAGTCCCACAAGCTGCTGGCTTCTAGTAACACACACACACACACACACACACACACACACACACACACACACACACTGTCTTAGTGCAGAGTGATCTTTTCCAGGCGCCTCCGTCAAGGCAACCACTGCATTCTGGATTCCCTGGGTCCCCAGCTCCACGTCTTCCCTCTTTCGGGGCGCAGGGGGTGGGTGGCACAGTTTCCCCCCTCAGGCAGCGTCCCTCTTGGGTCTGGTGTCCCCCCTCTTTCTTCCGCAACCTCTTTGCTTGACCGTTCAAAGCCGCTCGGTCACCTGACCGTCTCGTGTGGCATTGGAGAGTTTTGGAGCGCAGCGCATCCCGGCGAGCCGGCGCTCATTTCTGAAGAACCCGGCCATTTCTGGGGAACCCCCACGGGTCCTCTGTCGGGAGCGGCCCCTTCTCCCATTTCCCTTCCGGTTCCCCTGCCGGTCTCTCCTTCGGGACTTCACCTGCCTCCGTCCAGACGCTGCCTTCCCCGCTCGGGGCCCGAAGCTCTTGCCCCTGGCCCGCCCTTCCTCTGGAGTCCGGCATGGGCTCCTCGTCACCCGGAGGGTCAGGCTCGCTTCTCCAAGTTCTCGGGGAGTGGGGGGCTGACGAGGCCCACAGCATCAGAGGCCCCGGGCCTCCCCTTCCTCGCGCCGAGGAGAGTCTCGTGGGATCCCAGGTCTGCTCAGGGGCTCCGGGGAAAACAAGGGCCGGGGCGGGGAGGGGGCAGAATTGTCGGTTTCTTTCCTCCGCTGAGACCCGGAGGGAGCCTGTTTGGGCTCAGCCGCTCACGGGCTCTTCTCGCCCGGCAGGTCATGACGGACGTGGTGGGGAACCCGGAGGAGGAGCGGAGGGCAGACTTCTACCAGCAGCCCTGGTCCCAGGAGGCCGTCAGCAGATACTTCTACTGCAAGGCAAGGCAGTGGAGCGGGGTGGGTGGGGGGCGGGGGCTGGCCCTCGAAGCCCCTTCTCTTGGGGCCCGGAAGCTCCCGCAGCCCAACCCACTGCTTTTTTTCTTCCCTCCACCTTTTCAGATCCAGCAGCGCCGGCAAGAGTTGGAACAGTCTCTGGGGGTCCGCAACACATAAATGTCTACCAGCCTAATTTCCCCCCCACCATCACCCCCCCCCACCGTTCCATCAAGCATGGACTTTTCTGTGTTCCATCACCCGAGCCCCCCCCCATGGAGAACGGACCGGCTCCGGGACCGGCCTGGGGGAGCCCACCACAGCACCAGCATCACCAGCTATAGAGTCTGCCTCGCACACACCCCTGGCCCCCCGCCCTCCTCCTCCTCCTCGGCTCCGTGGGCTGTGCAGAGGGAGGCGAGAGGCCATGGCCCACAGCAGGAGGCTCCCCCGCCTCCCCCACTGTCAGGACCGAGGGTGGACGGCCTGCCCCCTTTGCGCTTCGGTCCACAGTGCCCGTTTGCCACAAAAGGTCTCGGCCACGATCAACCCGGCCGTTAGGATGAGATCTGGGACACATCCCGTTACGGGCTGCGTGAAGCCAACGAAGCACCCGCAACCGGCTGCGACGCTGGGGGGGTGTCCCGCAACGGCCCCGGAAGATTGGAGAATTGCGGCGTTTTCCTCCTCCCGAACTGGACCGGCCTCTGACCGGTGGCTGGCTGGGAGGGTCCGTCTGCCAGGCACGGGGAAAGGGGTCTCTGGCAGCAGCCCAGAGAGATCCAGAGGCCAGTGATCCTCTTCACAGCAGGCGCCTTGGGCCGGTCCTTCTGGCCAGCAGGTCCAGGAGCCCTGATTTGCTGGAGGCCGGCCATGGAGCTCTGCCTGGTGGGCCCTGCCTGGACCGATCCCCATCGCAGCACCCCCCAAAGCATCAGGGGAAGGGAAGACCCCCCCTGGACTCCCCTGAGCCTGTCAGAGTCAGCTTGGACCCCTGGGGAGCCCACCCTGACCAGCCACAGGCTCCCCTGGAAGCGGTTGTGCCCTGCAGGCTGTGGGGTGGGGGGGTGCCAGGCTGGCTGCTGCCAAGGGAGGGTCGGGGGGGGGGAAAGGAGGTGGAGGCTGTCGACTGGGCCCCTGGAGAAGAGGGAGGCGGGAAAGGGCAGGGAGGTAGCCGGAGAGGCAGCACAATTCCCGTCCCGTGCAAGATGGGGGTGGGTGGGGTGAGCCATTGTCCCTCTCTCTCTCTCTCTCATTCTCTCTCTTTCTCTCTCCCTCTCTCTGTCTCTCTCTCTCATTCTTTCTCTCTGTGTCTCTCTCTCCATCCCTCTTTCTTTCTCTCTGTCTCTCATTCTCTCTCTGTCTTTCTGTGTCTTTCCCTCCCTCCCTCTCTCTCTCTCTCTCTCTCTTTCATTCTCTCTGTCTCTCTCTCTGTCTGTCTCTCTCTCTCACACTCTGTGTCTTTCTCTCTCTCCCTCCCTCCCTCTTTCTTTTTCTGTCTCTGTCTTCTCTCTCTCTCTTTCTCTCCCTCCCTCCCTCCCTCTTTCTCTCCGTCTCTCTGTCTCTCTCACACTCTCACTCTCTGTGTGTCTCTCCCTTTCTTTTTCTCTCTGTCTCTCTGTCTCTTCTCTCTTTCATTCTCTCTCTCTGTCTGTCTCTCTCTCTCACTCTCTCACTCTGTGTCTTTCTCTCTCTCCCTCCCTCCCTCCCTCCCTCTTTTTCTGTCTGTCTGTCTTCTCTCTCTCTTTCTCTCCCTCCCTCCCTCTCTCCCTCTCTGTCTCTGACTGTCTCTTTCATTCTCTCTCTCTGTCTCTCTCACTCTGTGTCTTTCTCTCTCCCTCCCTCCCTCCCTCCCTCCCTCTTTCTTTTTCTCTCTGTCTCTGTCTTCTCTCTCTCTCTTTCTCTCCCTCCCTCTCTCCCTCTCTCTCTCTCTCTCTCCCTCTCCCTCAGCATCAGGGAGGTCAGAAAGGAAAGCAGACGTGGCCAGACGTGGTTTCAGCCGAGGTGGCCGATGACTCCTAGCACCCCCTCCACCCGGGGGGGGGGGCTGGGCTTTTGATAGTTTGGATCAGAATCGGGCCCTTGGAATCCTGGTTGGCTGGCAGAGCCTGGGACCCGACGTAGACAGGGGGCAGCCTCCCTGCCGGAGTGTCCACCCTGAATCCCCAAGAAGGGGGTGGGTGGGGGTGGGCAGCATTGGACAGCAAGGAAAAACTGCCCCTGCCCCTCCTCCTCTCCTCCCCCTCTGCTGGGAACCTGGCCTCTTTAAGACAAAAGGGCCAGGTGTTTCCCCAAAAGTTGCGTGCACCTGAGCCCCTCCCCCTCCAGGGGAGGGGCCGGGACTGAAAGGATAGGGCAGGGCTGGGGGGTCCACTCCTGCGGTCATTTCACCGTGTCTGTTTTTAGCACATGAGTGTCTCGTTGGCCGCCCTCTGGGGGGGGGACTCCCGGTCCCTGGGTGGAGAGGGAGTCACAGGTCCCATGTTCCACCCCCCCCACCGTGGCTGCCATTTCTTTGTCGTGTGGTGCCGAGTGATTTGTAGGAGAGTGTTCAATAAAAAAAAGAGCCTCCTTGCTTTGTATCTCTTTCATCCCGGGGGGGGGCACTTTTATTTGTTGGGCAGCCGGGGGTCCCCCTCCGAGCAGAGTCACCGGGGAGGGAGGGGGGGCTGCATTTTGGAGGGAGGGTCTCACTGGCACAGGAGAGGGCCCCACCAGCCACGTCTTTCCACCAGCGGTGTTGAGGGGGGGACCCTTGTTTGGACTCCCCTCTTTTTCAGATGCCCCAGCGGGGAGGGGAGGGGAGGGGAGGGGGGGAGAGGCCGGCCAGGCCACCCATAAGCCACATCCTCTCTCGCCAGAGGCTGCCTGGCCCTGTCCTTGCTCTGCCTCCTCCGGGACCGGGGGGGGGGGAGGCTGTTGGGGGAGGGTCCTCAAAGAAGCCACCCTGCCTCTCTCTCTGAAGTGGCCCCTTTAAGGAGCCAGGGAGGGCTGGCTATGCCGGGGGGGGGGGAGAGGGCAGGGGGGCAGCCCCACCAAACAGTTCAGGCCCCATTCCCGGCAGATGGGAGGGGAGCCCTGAGTTAGGGGGGGCTGCCCCGTTCTGGATGGGATTGGGGGGTGTTCATTGTGACCCACGGCCCAGGAAGGGCCACCCTTGAGCCCACAAGGGACCAGCCTCGGGTGTGGGTGGGTCACGGCTGCGAGGCCCGTGTGAAAGCAGCCCATCTAGGCAATCTCCGGGCATGGGGGCTCTTTAAGCAAGAGGAAGCAAGGGCCCCTGCCGGCCTCCTCCGGGCCTTCCTTCCTTCCTTCCTTCCCTCCCCAAGGCAGGAGGGGCACAGCTGGGCTTCTGCCTGGGGCAGCAGGGATGGGGCTGCCCCTGCCGCTTGAGGGACCAGCTGAGGGGCTGCTGGCTGCCCCTGCCGGCCTGGCTGCCTGCGGGCCCCGTCTTTCAGCAGGGGACCCAGTGGGGAGCCCCCTCCCCCGGGAACGAAGCTAGCCTCAGAGCGTGCTTGCTGATGAAAGGGCTTCTCCCCCCCCCGCTTTCCCCCCCTCCCCAGCAAGGGCTGGCTGGATGCGGACCCCCTTTGCCCGGACCCAGAGCGAGCGGCAGGCCGAGAGTTCAGTGCTGATCCGCTGGGCGTGGGGTGCGACGTGAGGTCGTCATCCGTGGCAGGGACTCTTCCGATTTCCTTCCTGGGGAGGGGGGGAGCTGAGCGAGGGTCTTCTCCCAGCCCCTCCTCTGGCAGCCAGGTCACCAGGCCAGCCAGAGGACGAACGCAACCTTCAGGATCGCAAAGGCCAAGCCGGGCAGGGGCAGAGAGGCTCCTGGGACATAAAAAGGAAGGCCGTCAGCGGAGAAGCTGCGGGGGGAGGATTCCTGCACGGAGCAAGGACGGGATGGACTAGATGACCCTAGGTATCTCGCACGACTTAACTGTCGTATTGCAAATCCCAGAAGTAGGAGTGGGGAACCCGACTACGGCAGATTCCCAAGGTGACAGATTGTCCGGATCCTTTTGAGGGTGGCTGGAGGGGCAGCTGCCTCGGACTCGGGGGGGGGGGGAAGCTTCTCCAGGGGGGCTGGAGTTGGGGAGGAGTCTCTCCCCAGAGGCTCTGGGCCCTCGCCCACCCGCCCATCCATGGGGACCCTGGGCTGAGCTGGAGGCTCCGGTGAAGTGGAGCAAATTCAGATCACAGGAAGTCCCCCCCCCAGGCGCCCCCTCCCCTCCCCTCACTTCCCAGCCCCTCCCCAGCCCTCTCCCAGGGAAAGTGGAAAAGCCTCTCTGTGGGGGGTGGTCTCCCACCAGGGAAGCCCCCCCCTTTGTTTCCTCGCCTTCCCCAGGTGCCCCCCCCGAGCAGCGCCCCTGCGAGGCATGTTGTGTTGGTGCCCCTTTCAAAGTGGGTCATCACAAGGCAGGTGTGTGGGAAAGGAGCGGAGTGGGCGTCACAACGTCCCAATGATACGTCCACCGAGTAGCCAGAGGTGAGATCAAGACGGCTGGAGGGCCGCTTCCCTCTGTTGTGCAGCCCCAGCACAAGGCCACCCCGTGGTCCCTGCCCCCCCGCCCCACGGGCTTCTCCTTCCCCCTTTGGTCCAGCATGCAAGTCCAGATCCACAGCGCTAACCTTGGGTTGGGGGGGCGAGGGGCTGGGGAGGGGATTGCGGAGAGGTCCTACCTCCGTTGGGGATGCAGTTGGGGGTATGTCCCGTCCAGGTCCCGTCCACCTGGCATCTCGTGACCGCCAAGCCCAACAGCCTGTAGCCAGGATGGCAGCGGAACCGGACCTCAGACCCGGCCAGGTAGTGGGTTCCGTCTTTCACCCCGTTGGAGGGCGGGGGCAGCCAGCTGCAGGAAACCACTGGAGGGAGGGAGGGAGGGGTTTTGATTCAGCCCCTCAATGGGCCAGGCATGTTGTTGCTGGACAGATAGGAAGATAAGAGTCCCTCCCTCCCTCCCCGCCCCGCCCCACCCCGAAGGGAGCTGCCGATGCTTGGCCAGCCCACCTGGGCCGGCTCCACGTGGCTCTGGCGTCTGTTTCAGGGGTGGCCGGGGTGGCCGTGCTGAGATGGGCCACCTAGTTGGACCCCCACCGTTTCCCTCCTTTCTCCTCATCTAGAGCGCACATGGGGGGGTCACTGGTGCCCTTCGAAAGGCCGCTCGACCCATTTCAGGCGTTCGAGGTGGGCCGGTTGTCCCGTGTCCTCAGAAGAACTTGGCGCCTGGCCAAGCCCTGCAGCTCCACCTGAGCTGTGGGGGCTGCTCATAATCCCCCTCCTGTCGCACCAGGGGCGCTACAGTCCCCTCCCCCCTGAGGGCTGAGTAGGGGGGCATTCATCCATTCACCTCAGTTCTCACATTACTCAGACTCCGACTGACCGGGGGCTGCCGGACACTCGGTCAGAGGACCCGAGTTGGTGTCACCACACAGCCGGGATGAGACCCGGAGGCACTCAGTGGCTGCAGGGACGGAGCTGAAGGCTGGATTGGGAGAGCGACCTGAACATTGTCACTGTGTGGGTCCAGATTGTGCTCTTCTTGTGTTGCCATTCCGTGCTGGGTGTAAAACGCCCGCTGGCCACAGGCGGCAGAGGGGGAGCCTCTGTGCTGCTGGGGATTTCAGGGTGTGAGTGTGTTACCTGGCCGCAAGTTGTATTGGAGATTCCTGAAGCGGTGGAGGGACAGCCGAGTGATGTTCCCCACGGCCAAGTCTCCGGTCGTCAGGACGTCGAAGCGGCAGAAGGTGTCAGTGTTGCAGAGGGCAGCCGCCTGCTGCAGGAGGGAAGCGTCGGCGTCTTCGGGGGGAGAGAAGACGGGGACGAAGGAGGAGTTGTGCTTCGGCCCGTGGACGAAGTCGTGCAGGAGGTCCTGCGTGTCGTAGGTGAAAAGGGACGTTTCGTTCGTAATCGCCCCTAAGAAGGAGAAAGGAAAACGGTCGGTCCGAGTCTTGAAGGAGAAGGATCGAAAACTTTCCTTGTGACACAGAATCTCTCGGTCAGGCATGTCGGCTTCCTCCGGAGGCTTCTAAACCAACATTGCCTCTGCTGGACGGGCGGCCGTGTCAAACCGATAAATAAAAGACAGTGGAACAATATAAGCTGGCCACGTGGAGCCCACGGGGGCATCAAGTGGGGGCATCCTCCCATGGTTTAAAACGGCTGACCACGGGTGGCCTCTCCTGGGAGGGACAAAAGGGCCGCCCGTCCCGCTTCCGCCGGCGACTGGCGAGGTCAGGTGTCGCCCCTGGAGACGGGGAACCCTCAAGGCCCTTAGCAGCCAGAGGAACAATATTAGTACAGCTGGAATAACATCTAACAAAGCTGCTCCTTTTAACGGCCTGAGACATTTTGTGGGGGGCACCGGGCGTTCTTTTACTTCCCAGGAGCCACTGCAAGCCCCCCGCCACTCGCCTGCCTTTGGCATTTATTCCATGTTGAGTTCTCTTGTGGCCGGCCCTTTTGCAGATCCTATGCGCCAAGAGGATCTGGCTGTCTTGGGCGACTCCGGTGGCCAAAGTCCAGCTCTGCCCATCATCCTTTCCGCCTTGCTTCCCCCTCTCCCCCCCATTTTCCCTCCAGAACGGCCGCACTCACAGTCTGCTCCGAAGGCGAAGTGCTCCCGGGGGCCGCTGCTGGCCACGTCCAGGGCCGTCCCGTTGGGAAGGGTCAGGTCGTCCTGCCACTGGCCGTTCATCAGCCCGAAGAGCCCCTCCGTCTGGTTCAGGAAGGTCTCCGGCAGCAAGGCGGTCAGGCTCAGCATCTTCCCTCCGTGGCCCCTGACCTCCAGGCCGGCTCCGGAGGAGAACATCGCCATGACGCTCTGCCCAGGGCTGCTGTAGAGGAAGAGGCCTGCAGGGGAGACACAGCGAGACCCTGGCCACTGCGAGGCAGACACCCCCCCCGGCTGGCCGGACTGGCAAGAATGGTGGAGTTACGCCCCCCCCGGAAGGTTCGCCCCCTTCAGCAGTTGGAGGCCGTAGAAGCTCCGGGTCATCCAACCTCAGCAGGGACGGAGGGATCCCTCCCTATCGGTTGGAGCACTCTGGGGGGGCTGGCTCGGAATCTTCCGGAATAAGGTCCACAGCTGCCAATTTCAGGGATAAAATTTTGCAGTTCAAAACAGCCCAAGTCCTTCACTTCGATTTCTCCCGTGGCTTTTCTACGAGTGGATAGAATCGGCGGGCAGGGATCTGCCACTCAGGCAATCCCGGCCATAGCAAGACGGGAGGCCCATCGATTTAATGAAGGAGTAAAACCTTAGAAGCCTCCTGGTCCGATCTACTTCCCAGTGCAGAATTCATTCCCGCCTTCCTGTCCGAAGGCCGTCGCTGGAGGAGGACGCTTCATGGGGCAGGAAGGCCCACCCAGAAGGGCGGCATTGACATTTGCCCCCTAATAAAGTAAATCCTTCCTCCGGCTCCTAATTCGGAGGGTGCTGGGGAAGGGGAAGCCCCCCTCAGAAGTCCCCTGGGGAGTCCTGGGGGCACGAGGCCAACCCCTGAGCCTCATTTAGGCCTGCCTTGACCGGCAGGGGAGGTGAGGTGTGCCCGGAGGGAGGGAGGGTCTTCTCCTGCTCTGGCCACCAGGTGGCACAGCTGCTCCATGTCATCAGAGCTGGAACAGCTGGCAGAAGCAGAAAGTGGGCCCTGGAAAATGTGTGTGTGTGTGTGTGTGTGTGTGTGTGTGTGTGTGTGTGTGTAAGGGGGGGTGTCTCCCTCTTCCTTGCCCTGCGGCCTATCTTTGCCAGTGGAGACGCTTCAACGGGGTCCCCGCTGAGGAAGCTGAACGGAGGCCCCGCCGGGCAGAACGCCGGAAGGGAATCACGCTCGTCACCTCCCTTCAGGGATGACCCCAAGATTTATTTTATTTATTTATTTATTGTATTTTTACCCCGCCCTTCTCCTTGCGGACTCAGGGCGGCTAACAGCCTAATAAAAACAAATACAAAAGTACAAAAATAGTACCGTTAAAACGTAATTAAAAGGAAATATTTAATTTGGCCTTTGTTATTTTTAAAAATTATTTTAAAACCCAGCTAAAAATACCCCTTAGGCCAGTCCTGCCAGCTTAAATAGCCATGTCTTGAGGGCGCGGCGGAAGGAAGGGAGATCAGGGATCACCCTGATCTCTGGGGGTAGTTCGTTCCAGAGGGTGGGGGCTCCCACCGAGAAGGCCCTCCCCCTGGGGGTCGCCAGCCGGCACTGTCTGGCTGACGGCACCCTGAGGAGACCCTCTCTGTGGGAGCGTACTGGCCGATGGGAGGTAATCTGAGGCAGAAGGCGGTCTCGGAGATATCCAGGTCCGATGCCATGAAGCGCTTTGAAGATGATAATCAGCACCTTGAAGCGCACCNTGCAGCTCGCGCAGTAACGGCGTTACATGGGAGCGACGAGTCCCTCCCAACACCGCCCGCGCGGCTGCATTCTGGACTAACTGGAGCCTCCGAGTGCTCCTCAAGGGGAGCCCCATGTAGAGAGCATTGCAGTAGTCCAGGCGGGAGGTGACAAGAGCATGGGTGACTGTGCGCAAGGCGTCCCGGTCCAGATAAGGCCGCAACTGGTAGATCAGGCGTACCTGATAAAACGCCCCCCTGGCCACGGCCGCCAACTGGTCTTCCAGTGTCAGCCGTGGGTCCAGGAGGACCCCCAGATTGCGTACCCTCTCCGAGGGAGCCAAAGTTTCGCCCCCTATAGTCAGCGACGGAGTCAGCTGACTATGCCGAGGCGCCGGCAGCCACAGCCACTCGGTCTTGGAAGGGTTTAGCCTGAGTCTGTTCCTCCCCATCCAGACCCTTACGGCCTCCAGGCATCGGGCCATCACGTCAAGGGCATCGTTGAAGGATCCCGGCCTTTTCTACCTCCCACTTCTGACATGTTCTCGCACCCCTTACAAAAGTCCGAAATAACTGCAACGAATGACGCGTACACGCTATCAATTTTGAAAACCCAAGTTTTCGCGACCCCTGGAATACTGTCTCGCAGCCCCCCAGTCGGTGCCAACAGCCCCGGTTGGGAACCCCTGAAGGCTTCGCTCCGGGCAGGTGGGAGAAGAGGGGATGAGCGCCAGGGGAGACCCTGTTTTACCAATACAGGGTGTTTTTTTTTTTTAAAAAAAACAACAAATCAGAGAACGTCCTGCCCGCCTAGCGAGCCTCATACAGCAGTGACCAAAATTGTGAAAACCTTTTGGGAAAAGTGTACAGTAGAAATGCCACCTTTGGTTACGTTTCCACCAATTTTTTCTTCTAATTTCTTTATAACTGTAGCCTTGTTCACTTATTTTGTTCATATTATTTTACATCACTTTCTGCATGACCAATCCACTCTTTGCACCATGACTTTAATTTCATGATGTTTTACAAGCTCACTCAATGAAAAGCACACAAAAATACCCCAACCAACTTGATGGTGATCACATAACAACCTGACCAATGTCCCCCTCTCAGCTTCAATAACTGGATCCTACTGTGATCTGATTGGCTCATGGCCAAAACAAGAGGACACCCGATTGGCTCTCTAAGCACTGATGCTCATTGGCTACAGTCAGAGGAAGGAAAGATACCGGAGATCAACCTGAGCAAGTTATGCTTCCTTTTTTTCTGGCTATTTGGCTATCCCTTTTCATAGAAGACAGTACAGATCACTGAACAAACGGTGCTGCATGACATTCTTGATTAAATGATCTTTCCATTGATGTATAGTTTTATGGTGCTACCCCCCCCAAAAAAAGTGGCGTTATTAGCCGTCAAACCTCAAAAATACACTTTTCCCAAAAGGTTTCCACAATTTTGGCCATTACTGTCATTAGCCCTGTGCCTGGGGTGACAAGCCTGGGGGTCCTTTTCAGCCAGCGTGGGATTCCCCCAGGGCTGTGGGGGTGAGTGGGGGGGGAGGGCTCCGTGGCTCGGACTCGCCCCCTCCTGGCTGGCTAAAAGGGGTGGATTTCCAGGGTCCCCTAAGGAGCTGCCCCCTTGACGGGGACTCTGGGCTGGTCGGGGCAGAAGGAGGGAGGGAGGGAGAGTGGGAGGTTGGGAGAGAGGGAGGGAGTGAGGGCAAAACCCCCTCTTTCCTTAGCTGGGGTGTGTGTGTGGGGGGGGGGGTCCGGCTCTGTTCCGAACAGTTTGGGCCAAGGCTGGAGCAGGAGGCGGCCGGCTATCCCGTTCCACGCAGTAGCCGATCGGAGGCCTCCAGGCTGCCCAGCGCCCTGTCCAAGGTGGGCATCCCCTGGACCGAAGGGTCTCTTTCTCTGCCCCCCTCCCTGCAGGAGAAAGCTCCTTCCCCCCCCCACTGTCCGTAGAAACAAAGCAAAGTCTAGTTTAACGAAGAGAAGGACGAGGGGAGACAGGATAGCAGCCTTCCAGTATCTCAGGGGCTGCCCCAAAGAAGAGGGAGTCAAGCTCTTCTCCAAAGCGCCCGGAGGCAGGACAGGAAGCGACGGGTGGAAACTAACTAAGGAGAGAAGGCTCGCCCAACTATGCTTCCGTGATTCTATAACTCCGACAGCCCGGGGTCGCCCGTGGCCTTGAAACGAAAGGGGTTTCCTGCAAGTTTCCCCTCCCTGCGCCCCCTCTTTCAACCCCTGTTCTCCTCTCACCTTTTAAGTCCATCCAGGTTTGTTCAGAAAAGTTGAGGGCCTTTTGATTCAGCAGCACCTCCCAGTGTCGGGAATGTCCCGGAAGGCGAACCTCGACTACGTCCGAGTTCTTCTCCCGCATGGCGATCGCTGAGAAGCCTGTCACTTTGGCTTCGGCCCCTGCCGGGCAATACAGTTACAAAGAGGTGAGCAGGGAGGGGGCAGCTCTCCCCAGGACTGAACCGAGATCAGCTGCAGACATTTTAAAAACCAGCGTGGCCTGGGGAGGCAGTTCCCGCGTTTCGATTCCACCGCAACTGGTGTCAGCAGTGGGATCCAAAGTTTCTGAGCTGCAACGGGGACGAGGGCAGGCCCTCCGCTGCAGAGGCGAGTGGACAAGGGGGGAGACCTCTTGCGGGAGGAGAGGCGGTCACAAGGGGGCTCCTTTGGAGCGGGGACTGAGTTCAAATGGGGTGCCCTAATGCCCTCCACCCCTCCACCCCTCCCCTCAGCCCCGTCCTGCACCCCAAAGGGATGAGGGTGACCCCCTCCCAGTCTTGTGCCCTCCGGGAGCTGTGAGAGCAGGGCGGGACCTGCCGCCCTCAGGCTTCCATCTGCAAGGCCTTCTTCGCCTGGTGGGGGAGAGGGGGAGGACCCGTGCTCGGCTCTGGTGGGGCAGATCGGGTGCTGGAGAGAGGGAGTTTGGGCACGGGGGAGGGGGAGGGGGAGCCTCAGCAGCTTCCCCCCTTGTGAGAAAAATCAGCTGCAAATTGTCCGAGGGTTCCGGCCCTCAACGCCCGAAGCTCTTGGTTTTCACCTGAACTGAGACTTAACTTTCCCTTTTAGACAGGCCGGGGGGAGGGGAGGTAACTAAATAAAATCTCCACCGGGTAAGGTGTGAGCCCAGGTAGAGTTAAAAAGGAACTCCGGGCCTTGTGGCTGAGCAGGGAAAGAAATCTGATCTTTAGAGACACCTTTCTTGGTATCAAAAGGACAACCGAGGAGAAGAGACAGGGGATTGAGAGATACATTCAGCCTAAACAGTCCTGGTTCACGCAGGGCCTCGCCTGGGCCCTCGACTTCTCCTTTCCCCTTCAGCCGGACACCCCTGAGGCCGGCCGGACGTTGCCTGGCTGACCGGGGCCCCTCCACGCCTGCCTGCTGGGAGGGCAGCCCTTGGCCGGGAGCTGAAGGCTCAGTTAGCCCAGCCTGGTCGCCCCAACAGGCCAAGGAGGAGGGAGGGTTGGGGGTCTCGGTCCCCCCTGGCAGGTCATGCTGAAGGGGGGGAGAGGAAGCCAGGGAAGCGGGGGAGGGGAAGCCAAGGCATCCCGGTTAGAACCCTTAGGACATCGGCCTTGATCCGGGGCAGAACAAGGACACAAGGACCCCCCCCATGGTAGTGGTCCTCTTCCTCCTCTTCCTTCCTCTCCTCCTCCTTCTCCTCCTTCCTCCTCCTCCTCCTTCTCTTCCTCCTCCTCCTCCTTCTCTTCCTTCTCCTCCTCCTCCTTCTCCTCTTCCTCCTCCTCCTTCTCTTCCTTCTCCTCCTCCTCCTTCTTCTCCTCCTCCTCCTCCTCGTCCTTCTCCTCCTCATCCTTCTCTTCCTCCTCCTCCTTCTCTTCCTTCTCCTCCTTCCTTTCCTCCTCCTTCTCTTCCTCCTCCTTCTCCTCCTCCTCCTTCTCCTTCTCTTCCTCCTCCTCCTCCTCCTCCTTCTTCTCCTTCTCCTCCTTCTTCTCCTTCTCCTCCTCCTCCTCCTTCTCTTCCTTCTCCACCTCCTCCTCCTCCTCTTCCTCCTCCTCCTCCTCCTCCTTCATGGACTCAATGATTGGTGGACTCAATGACTGGTGGTGGTTTAATGCGGCCATTGGGCTGCCCTCCCAGCAATGAATCCTCCACCCCGGGAGGGAGAACACGGCCGGGGAGGGGGGGAAAAGGCCAAAGGCCAAAGGCCAAAGGGGAGACCTGCACCTGGCTCTCCGTTGAGCAACCGAGCCCGACGGGTCCTGCCTTGGACGCTCAGGGAGGTCCGCTTGGATCCCAGCACCAGGTATTCGCCCAGGCCCTTGAAGGTGAAGTTGAGGCCATCGAAGGTCAGGAAGTGGGGGTCCCCAAACGCCGCAGCTGTGGAGAAAAACACAAACTGGAGCAGAGGCTGGGAAACCTGACCTGCTCCCCCGACGGTAGCTCTGCCTTTGAGAGAGTCCACCCCACCCCCTTGCTAGGGGCCAACGCCGTAGGCCTGGGGGGGTCCCTGCCCCCGACGGGGGATCGGTGGGGAACAGGCTCAATCCGCCCGGCTGAATCCCTTCCACCCTTCCTCTAATCCAGGGGTCCCCAACCCCCCCATCTGTTGAGCGGCAATGGGCCACGGCAGGCCAGCAACCGGTCCGTGCAAACAAGCGAAGCCCCCTCCGCGGGATGCAGGCAGCACACAAAACCAGCCCCCCCCCCCGGGTCCACGGAAAATCCTCTCTCCAGGGAACCAGTCCCTGGTGCCCAAAGGCTCGGGGGGGGGGAGGCTCTGCAAGTCTCATCCAAGCCGGGTCCGTCTCTGGCCCTCCACTCCTGCCCCTCACCGGACGTGGCCCCTCAAGCGAGCCCCCTTCTGCAAACAGAGACCCCCGGGGCAGCAGGGACTCCGCCTCGTGGCTGTGGGTTCTGGGCACAACCAACCGACCAACCGACGGGGCTCCCCTCTTATATGAGACGCTCCCCCCCACCCCCGGCCTTCCTTCCCTGAGGTCGGCAGGCCCGTTCCTGCTTTCCTTCTTCCACATCGGATTCTGAGGCCGGGGGCAGCCTCTGGGGTGGGGGCCCCTGGCAAAGGAGGACACTGGGGGACACTGGCAGCAAACCCCAGCTGAAAAGGACCCCCCCAGGCAGTATTGCTGGGGGGGAGGGGAAATGGGGGGGCCCTCCCTCCCTCCTCAGGTCCCGGTCCGAGCGCAGACACCCAGGTGAGAGAGGTGACCTGTCCGGAGCCAGGTCCATCTGAATCCGGGGGGGGGGGCAGACCAGACCCGGGGAACGCACCGACTCGGGGCGGCCGGTATCTCTGGCAGCCGCTGGAGGGACGGTGCTTGAAGTAGACGTCGCAGTGGTGGGACCAGAGGCAGCAGTAGTAGAAGCTGAGGACGTCGTAGAGCCAGTGGGAGAAGCCCGGGATGCGGGGGGGCTTCTTGTAGGGAGGGGCTCCCCAGTCGTGGCCTCGGTCCGGGGTGCTGCCCCCCATGGAGTCCCCCGTGAGCATCTGGGCGCCGGAAGCGTTGTAGCAGCACTGCTGCCCCGCGGCGTATCGGGGGCTGTTGGAGGACAGGAGATGGTCGGAAATTGTCCCGAGAACACCCGAAGGCATTTGGGGGGGAACAAGGATACCCCCCTCAGATGCTCCCACCCCCAGCGGGCCTTGGATTGAGAGGTGGTGCTCAATGGGTTTCGTTACTCTTTTCTTCTTGATAGTTTGTGATCTTGGATTGTTTTTATTTCTTTGTACGCTGCGCTAAATCACATGTGAATTGGTTTCTGTGTGCGTGCGTGTGTGTGTGTGTGTGTGTGTGTGTGTGTGGTGTAGGTTGACTTCCTGCCTTGAGGGAATGGGGCCTCACCTGGCCTGGACGCTCCTGACGCAGTGCACTGCCCCGGGGTGATAGGTGCAGACGCTGCCCTTCTCTATGTCGCACCCGTAGTCGGTCTGAAATGGGAAGAGGCGGCTTGGTCAGAATCTCTGGAAACTGACTCGGTCGGTTGTCCGATTTCGTTTCAGAAATGAAAGAGTAAAAAGATGTCAGGCTTATTTACTTATCCCCCTTAGATCAGGGGTAGGCAACCTTGGCTCTTTTATGACTCGTGGACTTCAACTGTCCTCTACACATAAGTTTATGAGTTTATATTTCATATTTTGTATTTTTATCTCTTGTGCTTTTATTGTAGTGTGATATAAATGTGTCATACAATAAATAAATATCTAAGCAAGGTTTCCAGTCTTTGAAAAAGGTCTCCATTGTTTGTTTGTTTTTCCCCTCTGACCAGACTGGTCAGCTTTGCCATTTCCACAATTTCCATCCAAAAGGTATAAGATTCACCAGCTAACACAGGGGTCTTCAGTATACAGTATATAGAACAGGGGTCTTCAAACTGGGCCCTTTGGTGACTGGTGGACTTCAACTCCCAGAATTCCTCAGCCAGGCACGCCGGCTCAGGAATTCTGGAAGTTGAAGTCCCCAAGTCATTGAAGGGCCAAGGTTCCCCACTCCCTGGTCTAGGGTGTCCTGCTGGAGCAGGGGGTTGGACTGGATGACCTTCCAGATCCCTTCCAACTCTGTTACTCTATGATTCTGTAAGGGCGGGGTCTTCAAACTAGGCCCTTTTGTGACTTGGGGACTTCCACTCCCAGAATTCCTCAGCCAGGCACGCTGGCCGAGGAATTCTGGGAGTGGAAGTCCCCAAGTCATCAAAGGGCCCAGTTTGAAGACCCCTGAGCTAACCCCTTTGAAGCCTCTGCCACCAGCCACAAGGCTCTCGTGGACGGGCCGTGAGCCCAGAGGACGTTCTGCAGGGCCGGGGGGGGCCCTCCTTGATGTTTTGGGGTCACTTGCTCTCCAGAGCTCCCGGGAGGGGGGGGACTTCCCAGAGCCAGGGAAAGGAAGGGGCGTCTTCCAACAGGGCAGCCGAGGAACGAAAGGGCCCCTCCGCCTTCTCGCTCCCTATATCCGTTTGGGCACCTGAAGGTCACACCTGGCAGAGGTGCCCCCGTCCCTGCTTGCTCCCAAAGGCGGGCTGAAGCTTTATGCCCCCTTTTCTCCTGGCCACGAACCGGAGGATCGGATCCCTTCGCCCCCGCCTGCCTTTGGGTGAGGTTTGGCAACCGGCCGGCCTAAACGCGATGAAATCTGGCACGAAGGAACGGGGAAGATTTCAAAAATCCAGGGTGGGCCGATTCAGCTGTCAAAGTTAAGACCGACACTTTGATTGGCACGTAGAAACGGCACAACCCCACCCTCCCCCTCCTGCCAGGAAGGGCCCCCTTCATGCTTTGGGTCGGGTATCTGGATAATCCCCCCCCCCAGCAGGGATGTGACCGGCACCTCCTGCCTCCTGCAGTGATGGGGGGGAGAGCAGTTCCTCCTCCACCCTTTCCCAGAAGTGGTCTTGCCCCCTCCCCCCCAGGAATTGCCCCTGGGGGGGCACCAAGAGAGGGTCGGCTGAGGTCCCTTTCCAAGGTGGGCAGGCAGGCCGGCAGGCTGGGGCCAGGGCAGGCTCTGGGGCAAGGCGGTGCCCAGCGTACCACCCAGAGGGGCTGCCAGGGGGCCCCCTTGGCTCACTTGCTTCCCTCCCCCCCCTCAGAAAGGCCTTCGGACGAGGTTCCGGCTGGTCCCTCCGGCCCGAAGCAGCTTCTCCCGAGCGATGCAATGCTGCCCCCCCCCATACGCAGCACAGGTCTGCGCACCATCTGATGTGGGCCACGGAGCATCACTCCGCTGCTGGAGCAATCCACGGGAATCTGCCCCAGGGCCTTCGTCCCCCCCCCCACCTCCCCGAGCTGATGTGGGGCACCCCCTTCCCCCTTCAGCCCCACCTGGTTCTGCTTTCCAAGGCCGGCCTACTGGGACAGAACACAGGTCTTGGATGCGATTTGAGAGTAATCGTTTATATCTTTTCTTCGATTTGCATCCCACCTTTGCTACTTCGTGAGTAACTCAAGGCCACGAACACACCCAATGCTCCTTCCTCCTCCTCCCCCTGGTTTCCCCACAACACCACAACCCCGCAAAACGGACGGGGCCCAGAGAGACTCCCTTGCCTGGGGTGGAACTGGAACTCCCAGCCTCCCGGTTCCTAGCCTGGCGCCCTCGTCGCTCGGCCCCGCCCGTCAGCCCTGAATCCTGGCACACACGCAAGGAGGGAGTGTTGACACCTGCGGAACCGGCCGGTCCAGTGATCCACCAGGAAGCGAGCCTCCCGCCCAATTCCCGACATCTCCTGGAGAGTCCCGGGCTGGCCTGCTCCCTCGTGCCACGCTCCAGAGCGGGTGTGGAGCTGAGCTGGGGCTGGTGCCAACAGGAAACCGATACTCGGGTAATGAGAAGCCGGCCTAACCCACCCGGTGCCCGGCCTGCCACCGCCTAGTGTGAACCCACGTTCCCAGACGGGGCCACGAGTGGGAGGGCCCCGTGTGAGCCTGGCCCCTACATTCTGCAGCCCGAAGGGACCCCTCGCAGGGCTCGGCCGTCTCCCTCTCTGCTCTGGCCCCACCTCGGGCTACCTGGCTAGGCGGATCAGCATTAGGAAGCCCCCCACCCACACACCCCCACCTGCCGCAATGAATTCTCAGGGTTCAATCACGAGTGTGTGTGGGGGGAGGGGAGGGTCTCTGGGAGGCGGAGCCCCAGAAATGAGAGGGACGGTCATCCCGTAGCATCTCCGCTTTGACCCGGAGCCCTTCAAAGGCACCGCCACAGCCTTCCCCTCCCAGGGCTTGTGAGCAGAGTGATCAGACGTTGCCTTCGCGGCCGGCCTGGAACCACGCCTGCCACAAGCGGAACCTCTCCGGGCACCGGGGCACTTACATGAAAGCGGCCGGAGTCAGCTCGGGCTTGGGCCAAAGTGCAGGGACAGTCCGGGATCTCCTCCAGGAAGTTGGGCAGGTCGGCCTCCTTCCTGTCCCACTGTTGGCACTTGGCGGCCGCCCAGGCGGCGGAGTTCATCCGGAAGGCCTCCTCCAGGTGCCAGGCCAGGGCGTGCTCCGTGCTCCAGATGGCAGCCACGTTCCTGACGTTGGGGAGAACCAGAGGGAGAAAGAATGAAAAGTCTGGAAAAGTCTGGAAAAGTCACCGGGAGACGAAGTGGGCAAAAGCGAATCTGCTCTTGGGGACGTATCGTTTCTACTAAGAAAGGGCCTTTTTTGAGTTTGCACGATCCGTTTTATGTTGAAACACAACGCAAGTCACGACTCCTTTGAGTGGAGCCCGGCTCGTAGGGACCTCCGAGACGTCCCCGCGATGTTCTGGAGAAGAAGACACGATCGGCCAATGCCGCCGTCTTTAGTTCTCCATCTACTGACAGCTCTGCCGTTTCCCGGTGGCCTCCATACCAAATACTGACAGGGCCTGACCCAGTTTAACCTTTGGGGATTAATCCAGATCAGGAAGCCGCTAAAACGGGGCACCTATTTGCTGAAAGAAGCTGAATTGCTTCACCGGGAAGAAACTGGGAGAGGCTACAGGCCTCTCAGTGGGATCGGCTGATTTCTGCTTGAGAGAAAGTGGACCTTTTGTGCCAAGAAGCCTGTTGCAACCAGCCGTGCGTAGCCGCCCTCCCTGCTTTCCCACGCCCGCCTGTCCGGGTCGGGAGTGCATTGACGTCCCTCCTGCCCTGCAGTTCCTCCTGGGATACTCACGGCTGCCCTTCCAAGGAACCGTTGGCTGAAATCCTCAGCGCGCCCATCTCCCAGCCCCCGTGCTGAGCGGAGGGAGCAGGCAGGAAGGCGAAGTGTCCGTGATTAGGGTAGTTCCGCTCCAAGGAGTAGAGGTACTTCCACTCAGCTGTCCAGTTGTCAGAATAAGGCTTGCCTGGAGAAGGGAGGAAGGAAGGGGAAGGAAGGAAGGAAGGAAGGAAGGAAGGAAAAGGAAGGAAAAGGAAGGAAGGAAAGGAAAGGAAAGGAAAGGAAAGGAAAGGAAAGGAAAGGAAGAGGAAGGAAGGAAGGACGGAAGGGGAAGGAAGGAAGGAAGGAAGGAAGGAAGGAAGGATGGAAGGAAAAGGAAGGAAGGAAAAGGAAGGAAGGAAGAAAGGAAGGAAAAAGAAGGAAGGAAGGATGGATGGAAGGAAAAGGAAGAAAAGAAGGAAGGATGGACGGAAGGAAAAGGAAGGAAAGAAGGAAGGAAGGATGGAAGGAAGGAAGGAAGGAAGGAAGGAAGAAAAAAGAAGGAAGGAAGGAAGGAAGGAAGGAAAAGGAAGAAAGGAAGGAAGGAAAAAGAAGGAAGGAAGAAGAGACTTGAATAATCCCACCAGCTGCACCTCAAGCCATCGCACGAGGAGGCTGCTGGATACTGCCCCCCCCCCAATGTTCCCCTGGGCGAAAGAAAAGCCACAGCTGGGACAGGGGGGGGGCTGGAAACCCTTAGCCCGGCAGCTGCATTTCCCACCCAGGCAGGTCCCTGGGCCTAAGACCGGCCCACTTGGCTCTGCCTGGCGAGAACCCTCTGCCCCTCCCAGTCCTGCCGGGGCCGGGGGCGGGGGGGGCAGGAGAGGGGAGGCCTGCAGGCCTGGCAGCCTTGGGCTCCTGGGGACGGCAGCCCCTTTCCCATCCATCTCTGGTTCCATTTTAGGCCCGTTGAAGCAGTGCCACCGCCTTTCCCGGTGATGAGGAATTGTCGTGTTGCGGTTGTTATGCCAGATGGGGCTAGTAGTGTGTACTTTCGGAGGTCCTTTCGGACTCTCTGCTTCTGCTTGCAGAGCGGAGGGCGGCCGTGGCCAAGAAGCCTTTGCACCGCTCCCTCTTCTGCCGCCCGGAGTGCCCGTTCCTTGATCAGGAGACCTCCTGATGGCCCCCGGTCACTCCCCTCTTGGGCTACTGCAACGCCCTTTACCTGGGGCGGCTGTGGGGGGCGGCCACCCGGAGCCTGCCATTGGCTTAGAACGCAGCAGCAGTTTGGGGGGTACCACACAAAGTAAACCCCACTAGGTTAGGGGAGCACGCACACGCTATTTACAAGCTTGTGGGTGCTCCGGTCCTCAGGCCCCTACTCGGTCTCCAGGGGACTTAGATCCCCCGGCCCGGGACTACCGGCTGTTGTTATGTAACGCCAGGTCCGTGGTAAATAAGGCCCCCCTCATACAAGATCTTATTTTAGAGGGGGGTGCGGACCTGGCGGGTATTACTGAGACCTGGCTGGGCGTCGAGGGAGGAGTCCCTCTTGTAGACATCTGCCCGCCGGGTTTTCAGGCATTCCATCAGCCGAGGACCCGGGGTA